AAATTTCATAATTTAATAATAATAATAATTTTTTAAAATAGTATTTTGGTTATTTAAACTGCATAATTTTTTTTTTTTTTTAATAGTGTTAACTTTATCTCTTTGACTCTATTATGTAGTAAGTTGTGGCTGTTCAAGCCTAAGGTGTCCATTTGTCCCACATACCCCCATTGGATTGAAGCATTTGGTAAAAATAAAGATGTCTCTAAATAATAATATGTTCAAAGTGTATCTTCTTTATTTTATCATTATATCTTTGAAATCTTGTTTATTCTATAAAATGTATAAAAATATACATATTTATAAATATATGTATACTCTTCGTGAGTTTAAATTTCATTAAAAATTATGAAACATTTTTTTGAGAAGAATTCATTTAGATAATGCAAATTATTAAACTCTCTTTAAAACTTCGAATTTTCAATGATTAATATTCACATAATTGAATTAATTAAAAAATATTTATAAATCAACGGAATAGAAGTACAAATCCTGAGATAATTTTTAAATTACATATTAATATTTCAGGCGATATAAAATACTTACATTTGTTGGCGATTAACACAGTTTTTGGCTCACAATCATATTTAGCTTTAGTTAATTTATCATGCCATGCGGATAATGCAGAAAATGAACCACTGTCTGTTATATCAAATACCAATATTACTGCCTAAAAATTATACATGTTTTGATAGTCAGTAAAATAATGAAATTTAATTTATACATTATAAAAACTTTAATTAAATTGTAACTTATAAATATGTTTTATAAATACATATACATGGTGAATTAAAATTAATCTTACAAATTATTGTTTGAATGTCATTTGGCCGAATAAAATGTACTGCGATAATTATGGTAATTTATGAAATTGGTCGCTTTAAATTAAATTTTGTATTATAATGTGTGATTTATGTATAACTGTATAATTTTATAAATTCAAGATGCAGTAAATTTTTTAAATATGTTGATTGTATACAAAACGTTATTTCTAAAAAAATGTTAATATTAAGATAGATACTAATTTCTATGATAGAAAAGG